ATGGAGGAGAGGGGATTGCGGCGTGACCATCCCCCCTGGGGGGTGATTTCTCGCTTTCTGTCTTTATGTCTCTCTCTGTCTGGCGAGCGCACGCCCCTACAGTGAAAATCTCTAAAAAAAAAAAAAATAGTTGGGATGAAAAGACCAGGTCATCAACTTTTGCCAGCCCCAGCCTGGTTGAAAGGGACTGATTGACAGATGGGGGCTTCATGGGACAACCTGCCAATCGTCTGGATAGGCTGAAGCAAAGCCGGCCCACCTGGGGTCCGTGCCTGGACAGATGTTGGAGGCGGAGCTAATATAGGGGCGTGGCTATGTCCGGCGTGATTTGGGCGGGGCTGAATGAAAGCGGTGCTTGGACAGATCTCATTGGAGCGAACCCCCTTGGGGGAGGAGCTCATGGAGTGGGCGGGGCTCACCCAGCACGGAGCCTGGAGTCTAGGTCCTGCAGCTGACCCCTCAGCTGCTCCTGCTGCTCTGTCAAGGCCTGGATGTGGGTGTTCAGTGACTCCACGAGACGGGACAGTGCTCTCTGCTCCTCGCGCAGCGCGGCCACCTCGCTGTGCAGCTCTGCCAGCTGGGGGGGAGGGGGCGGTAAGAGCCGTTGTAATCCGACCCGTCGGCCCGCCCCTTCCTCTCCCTGGAGACTGTGACCTCCCAGTTCTACCCTAACCCATCGGGGAATCTCGTTCCGTGGTAGGGAGCAGGAAGTTGAGACTCCGAGAGGGTAGGACCAGGCCCGGGGTCACACAGCGCAGCAAGCTCAAGATTTGAACCCAGATTTGCCTGACTTTCGACCTTTTTTAAGTTCAGGCCCCATCGACTCCGTTCTTGCCACCCTCCCCGGAGTAATCCTGGGCCGGACCTCACCTTGCCCACGGGTCGATGCGTGCCCACCGCCTGGTCTCGGTCCCGCGGCTGATCCAGCTGGCGCTGCCAGGGCACCGACGGCTTCCGAGGCAGTGAAGTGGAGGCCCGGATCCAGGGCCGGTCGCGGGGCGCTGGGCCGGTTCGTAGGGAGCCTTTAGGTCGAGGCCGGGCTGCGGAGGCGCGGCGGCGGGTGGGACGCCCCGCGGGGACGCTCTGCGTGCGCTGCACTGGTCGGGGCCGCCGCAGGGGCCGCTCTTCGTCCAGCCGCGGCCGACCCCAGCTCCCTGCGCCTTGAACGCCGCGCAAGGACTGGCTCTTGGAGATGAGAGGAGTGTGCTTGGGGAGGTCGCGAGGGGCCAGGAACCCGGGCTTCTCCCCTGCAGAGAAACTGGGGGTGGGAGGGGGGCGCTCAGACCCTCAGCGGGTCCCTGAGATCACCCGGTCCCGATCTCTCTCTCTCTCTCTTTTTTTAAATAATTATTTTATTTAACTTTATTTATTATCATTATTTACCAGTTTGATCAGACAGACAGAAGGAGAGCGAGAGAAAGCAAGCCACCAAGTTCAGGATTGAACTGCGGTTGGCCATGTGAGAGTCCAGCGCCTTCAACTACCATGCCACCTGCCAGCCTCTCCCAGTCCCGATCTCTAAACAGAGGGGATCTCACCGCTGTCTTTCCCTTTGGCATGACCCTGTCCTTGACCTCTGACCCTGAGGAGACCCTGTCCTTGGCTTCTGGCTGCAGGATCCTCGACTTGACTCCTAACCTCTGACACAATGTGATGCTTGATTTGAACAGTTCCATAACCTCTGGTTGCAGTCTGTCCCTGGGCTTGACCTCTGTTCACAGGGCACCCTTCCCCTTCCCAGGGTGATCTCATCTGGCCAACCTCTGACCTTCTGTTGACCCTATCCCTTCCCCCAGGGAGAACATGGTCCCTAACCTGTCCCTGTTCAAATATGACCCTACTTATAATTCTTTCATTTTTTTTTTGCAGAGGTTTTTGCTATAGGGCACATGAGCTCACCAGAGAGAGCGAGACAGAGAGACAGAAAGTGAGAAATCACCCCCCGGAGGGATGGCCACACCACAATCCCTTCTCCTCCATTCTCCCCTCGGGATCTTGGGCACGGAAGCACACGCGCCCGGCATGAGTTTAAGGCCACCAGGTCCGGGACACAAACCATGGTTGACTACATGGGAGTCCAGCGACATAGCCATTACACCAACTGCTGGTCCCGCTATTTATAATTCTTGAGCCCTGATTAGACTGAGCCTGACTTCAACCTAGTATCGGAACCTGAATCAGGCTTGGACTCTTTTTTTGCTCTAGGGCACACCTGCTCACCAGAATGACAAAGCAAGAAAGCAAGCTGCTAGGTTCAATCTCAAATCCCAGTCAACCATGTAGGAGGAGTCCAACACCCTAAGCTCCATGCCACCTGTTGGCTCCTATCCTGGACTTTAATGGATGCAATTTTTTTTTTTTTTGGAGAGGTTTTTGCTACAAGGCACGTGTGCTCACCAGAGAGACATAGAGACAGAAAGTGAGAAACCGCCCTCCACGGGGGAAGGCCATGCCGCAATCCCTTCTCCTCTAGGGATCTTGGGCATGCATGCATATGCACCCGGCGTGAGTTTAAGACACCAGGTCTGGGACTCAAACAGTGGTCGACTACATGGGAGTCCAGCGACATAGCCATTATGCCAACTGCTGGTCCCATCTGTTTTTTTTTTCTTCCAAGCCATCAGGCTGGGAGTCGAACTATCATTAGCCATGCGAGATCTGGCTCCCTTAACTACTGTGCTATAGGGCCAGCCCCGCCTAACACAGTTTCTGATATTGACCATAACATGACCTTGTTCCTAATCCCTGACATCCATCTTTACCTCTGACCTCCCACCCATGGAAGCTCACACCAGACTTGTGGTTACCTGGAGTGGACTTGAACTGGGGGTGGGGGAAGACGCATCGGCACAGACACAGGTACAGGCCGGCCCTCCTCGATGGCTCGCAGAATGGTGGGCAGCGGTTCCAGGCTGTCACAAGTTGCCTGGTGAGGCATGCAGAGAGGACGCTGAGTGGGCATTCTGGGGCCAGAGCTTCCCAGCCTCCTCGCTTCCCTTCCCTGGGTCCCAGGCTCTGGGCGTAGGGCACACCTGGTCAAGCTCAGCAAAGATTGTACAGAGCTGGGCGTGCAGAACTGCCAACTGGAGGGCCAGGTCGCCACTGCCCTGGTAACCACTGGGCGTTGCATTCACATCTACCACGGCCACCTGGTTCAGGAACTGTTGCATGGCTGGTCCATGATCCTCCAGGAAGTTATTCATGAAGCCCATGTAAGCCTCCTTCTCGCCAAACCTGGCTCAGGGAGGGACAGGGTGGGGAGGTCAGATCAGACAGCTCAGCCCCCACACTCCCAGCATGGATCCCCTCCCCCCACCCCGTGCCCCCAACCCTCCAGCACCTACGGGGCACGGTTGGCAAGATTCTGGATGACTTTGGCGATCAGCGTGAGGGTGCGAGCTGGGCCGGGTGGCGGGTGCTCTGGAGCAAGGCCAAAGAGGCTGGGTGGCAGGCTGGCAGGACATAAGAGCCGCAGGAAGAGGGAAGCACACACCAGCCGGGGCCCCAGTGCCTCAGAGCCGCGTGCCTTACATGCTTCTCTCCAGCCTGAGAACACGGTGCCCAGCTCCGCCGGGAACCAGCTGGGGCAGAAGAAGCAATGGTCAGAGAAAGACGCCATGAGCATAAAAGGTCATGAATGGTCAAGGTCATAAGGTAAGGGGACGGAAGTCCAAAGAGTGTTGCATGGCTGTCCCATGATCCTCCAGGAAACCCTTCTCATTGATGCTAGGGCCTGGGTTCCAAGATTGGAAATATCTGGGATATTGTTGCTTGGGGTCAGCATTTATGGTATAGTTATTAGGGTGACATCTAGAACTGATCCCCTTAGAATTGGACAGGGTGGGGCCAGTTAGGTGGTGTGGTGGCTAATGTGGCTGGATCTCACATGGATGACTGCATGATTGGAGTCCCCGACCCGGCAGCTTGAAAAATATACTGGGTGGGGACCAGCAGTTAACGTAATGGCTATGTTGCTGGACTCCCATGTAGTCGACCGTGGTTCGAGTCCCGGACCCAGTGGCTTAAACACACGGGCGTGTGTGCGTGCGCGCCCAAGATCCCAAGAGGAGAATGGAGAAGAAGGGATTGCGGCGTGGACATCCCCTCTGGGGGGTGATTTCTCACTTTTTGTCTCTCTGTGTCTTTCTGGCAAGCGCACGTGCCCAATAAGAAAAAGAACCTCTCCAAAAAAACAAAAAAAAAAATGCTGGGTTCATGTGCGTGCATGCCTAAAATCCCAAGAGGAGAAAGGATTAAAGCATGGCCATCCTCCCCCAGGGAATGATTTGTCTCCTTCCCTCTCTTTCTCTCTGTCTCTCTCTCCTGCAAGCACACAAGCTCTATAGCAAAAACAAACAAAGCAACAAAAACAAGACTTGAACAGGGTTACATGAGGACAGAGTTCATAAGCTTGGGATACATTTATAATTACACATGAGCTAGAGATACCAGAAGGGATGACGTGAAGTAGGATGGGGTTGGTGTTACAGGATCACCCAGGGTCAGAAGTCACGAGACTGAAGTCCCTGGTGACATGACATTAGTAATGCATGTTAACCTGGGGTCAGAGGTCAAGGATTGGTATCCCCATTTCCCATGATCAGTTGCATGGGATTTTATTTATTTTTTTTTAAGAGAAAGATTTTTGCGATAAGGTGCATGCACTTACTGGAAAAACAGAGAGACAGAGAGACAGAAAGCAAAAAATCATACCCCTGCCCCCTCCCCCTCCCCCGGGAGGATGGCCATGCCTCAATCCCGTCTCCTCCTCCTGGGAGTTTAAAACTCATGCTGGGTGCATGTGCATGCATGCCCAAGATCCCAAGAGGAGAATGGAGGAGAAGGGATTGCAGCGTGGCCACCTCCACCCCCTGGGGGATGATTTCTCTGCAATCCCTTCTCCTTCATTCTCCTTTCGGGATTTTGGGCACATACACACACATGCCTGGCATGAGGGTTTTTTTAAAATTTAATTTATTCATTTATTTTTAATTTGACAGAGAGAGGGAGCGTGAAGGAAAGTGAGAAAGTGAACTACCAGGTCTGGGACTTGAACCTTGGTCAGCCATGTGGGAGTGTCCAGCATCTTAATCATCACACCACTTGCTGGTCCCTAGCCTGGCATGAGTTTTAAGCTGTCGGGTCTGGGACTTGAACTGCAGTTGATTATGTGGAAGTCCCGTGACCATTATGCCACCTGCTGGTCCTGCATGGGACGTGAGACAGTCACATAAAGTCTGGAATCATCTGGAATCAGAGGTCATAGGATTCAGGATCTATGCTAACTAAGGTCAAGTGACATGAAATTGGGGTTTAGGATCACCTGTGCTTAGAGAACAAGAAATTAGGTCCCAGGTTACGAAGGATCAGATGGCCTGGCATTGGGAGAAGGACAGGCAGATTTAGTAAAAAAAAACTTCCAGACACCCAGTTAAACTTGAATCTCAGATAAGCAATGAATACTATTTTCTTTTTCTTTTTTAGGTATAATTATGTCCCAAATAGTGAATCAGATTTAACTGAGGGTCCTGTATGTTTCCTAGTGACCCTAACTGAGGGGTGGAGGTTAGTGCCTGAGAGGTAGAGATGAGCTTAGATAGTAGGGCCCCGATTCTCACTCGTAGGAGTGGACGATGGCTTCGAAGACCTCCTCGCAGCTGTTTCGAAGTCTGGTCTGGTGTTCAGACAGCTCTGGGGCCGGGCACTTGCTGGGGTCCACCTCACAGTCCTCCGTGGAGGCACAGAGATGTAGCACCACTTGGCCTGGAGCACAGCACAGCCAGTGTCAGGCCATGACTCATTAAAATCCATCACACTCAGGGATCAGCAGTTAGCGTAATAGCTATGTCGCTGGACTCCCATGTAGTTCGACCACGGTTCGCGTCCCGGACCCAGTGGCTTAAAACTCACGCCGTGTGGCGTGGCCATCCCCCTCACCCTGGTGGGGGGGTGATTTCTCTCTTTCTCTCTGTCTGGCGAGCACACGCGCCCTATAGCAAAAACCTCTCCAAAAAAAAAAAAAAAAGCATTACACTCAGCCTCCAACTTACTCTGGAAGCACCTAACATCTTGGGGGGACTCCCAGCTCCCCCCCCCGAATCCTAGCACCCCCAAAGCACCATCCACTACCAGAATCCAGGTTATCTGGGAAATTCCAGACCTTCTATGGGGTTCCCCAGCCCACCTAGCAGGCCTCTGACACCACACCCCTGTCCCCCTGGCTCACCCAAGGTCTCTTGTAGGTAATCGTGTGCCACCAACTTCATATACTCGTCAATGGCCTTCGTGGCCAGCGTGTTTTCTCGGAACAGCAGCGCCTCCCGGCCTCCACAGCGCGCCAGCTCCGCTGTGCCGAGATCTGTCACCAGTGCCTAGGCAGGACAGGGGTCATGTCACACGGAGTATAAAATTTTTTTTTTGGGGGGGAGAGGTTTTTACTATAGGGCACGTGCACTCGCCAGAAAGACAGAGAGACAAAAAGCGAGAAATCACTGCCCCCCCCAGGGGGGATGGCCACACCGCAATCCCTTCTCCTCCATTCTCCTCTTGAGATCTTGGGCAGACACGCACACGCGCCCAGTGTGAGTTTAAGCCACCGGGTCCGGGACTCGAACCGCAGTAGACTACATGGGAGTCCAGGGATGGAGCCATTATGCCATCTGTTGGTCCGACGGAGTATAAATTGAGTTGGAGGAATCCTACTCTTCTTGGCTGGTCCCTCATAGGTTGGGCGCAGGCGCAGCTTTCTTGGCTAGGGCTCCTAACCGAGGCTCGAACCTCTACCCCTCACAGGGGAAGCTAAAGCCTCTGAGAGCTGGAGCTCAGGTCAGGCCCCACCCCTTCGCAGCTGAAGCTCAGACCCTGTCCTTCAAGGTGCCCCGACTCCCACTCTGAGCCCCCGTTCTCCCTGCGTCCCCGGTCACCCCAGTCTACCCCGTCGCGGTGTCTCACCTGCGCCCGGCCAGTGGCCCGCAGCACGCGCACCATTGCGGCCGCCAGCTCCTCCTTGCCCTGCGCGGACAGTACAGGTTCGAGGGCTCCGCAGAGGCGCGCATAGTGAAAAGTGAGGAACTCCGCCAGCTCCTTATAGCGCTCGGACGGCAGCACCCGCAGGCGTCGCGCCCGGATCCGCGCCCGGAGCGCCGCTCCCACGGGCGCCCCAAGCAGCGGGAACCAGCGCTCCAGGCCAGCCAGAGGCGGGTGCACGGGGGACGCTCAGCTCTTCTAAGGTGAGCGCCACGCGGCCCAGCGCTGCACCCCCTGAGCCTGAGCCTGAGCCACGCAGCCGTAGCGACAAGCGACGTGCTGGTGGAAGCGCCTCAAAGTGGAAACGCTCAGCCCAAAAGAGCTGGCCTGGGCCAGTCCGCGGCGCCGTGCGTGCCAGGAGCGCGCCGTCCAGCCACAACTCGGTGCGCACGCCCGGTGTCCCCGCCGCAGTCCGGGGCAGCCCCTTCGCCTCGTGCACCCACACGCTGAGCCACGTTTCTTCACGTTCCGCGTTGTCCTGTGGACAGAAGTGGGATTGGGAGAGTTTCGGGGGCGGGTACTGCAGGTGAAGCACGGGGGATCTCTAATCTGGTGCACCGTGACCGCAGGGAGATCACTCGGTCTCTGGGCAAAGTAGGGGCCACGGGAGTCCCTAGGTGACTATTTGGAAGCCTCGTAGCTTTTCTGGGTTCTCCTGGATATATCTGGGCCCCAAGGAATGAAGGAGTAGTTGTGGAGAGAGAATTTGGCAATTACTTGGTAGGCGGGGCCTCGGATGCAAATAGGGCCAGGACTGAATGGAAGGGGCGGGTGTGGTATACAGGGAGGCGGGGTAGTAGATGGAACGGGAGTCTCCGATTGGCTGCAAAGGCGTAGGCGGGGCAGGTATGTTTCAGGGGCGGTGTTTTGGCGCGTGCGCGTGCGGGGGATGTTAGTTTGAGTGGAACTCGCAAGGTCTAGGTTATCCCCGGCAATGACCTGGCTGGGTTGGAAGTGGCGACGAAGGTCCTCAATCCAGCGGTCTCTCTCAGCAGACGAGCGACAAGAGAAGCAGCGACTTCCACCTGCCCACGTCACCTGTGGGGACAGGGTATCCAAGCGTGTGGAGGCCAGATGTAGAGCCAAGGGGTGAGTGGTAGAGTTGGGGAACAGATGTGGAGGGTAGCTTGCACTTACCTGGAAGCAGTGGGGTTCCCCCAGGAGGCTGGAGTGCAGTGGCCAGACCCGCACGTCCCGTTCGGCGCCCAGGTCCAGCTCAGAGAGTGTGGCCAACGATTCCCGAGAACCCAGAGCACTGGTGGGTCTAGAGAGGGTTGGGTGAGCAAGGGTCATTTGCTCTCTTCCCTCACTTCCCACACCTCCCAGAGCCTCAAGGGTAGGAGAAAGCCAGAATGAACCAATCTTTTTTTTTTTTTTTTAATTTCTTCATTCATTTATTTTAATTTGACCAAAGAGAGAGGGAAAGTGAGAAAGCAAGCAATCAGGTCTGGGACTTGAACTGTGGTTGACCATGTGGGAGTGTCCAGCGTCCCAACCACCATGCCACAGAATGAACCAGTCTTAAATTGTATCCTGCCGGTTGGCAGGTGGCATGGTAATTAAGGACGCTGGACTCCCACATGGTCAATCATGGTTTGAGTCCCAGACTTAGCAGCTTGCTTTCTCACTTTCTCTCTCGCTCTCACTCTGTCCCTCTCTGGTAAAATTAAAATGAATAAATAGATACATTAAGTTAAATAAAATAATTCTTTGAAAAAAATTGTATCCTGCCACACCCTCAAATCCACATCCCTGCACAGTGCCTCACTGCTTTTAGAATAAACCCAACCTCTCTCTCTTACGGTGTTTTTGTTTGTTTGTTTTTGGAGAGGTTTTTGCTATAGGGTGCGTGCGCTCACCAGAAAGACAGAGACAGACAGACAGACAGAAAGCGAGAAATCACCCCCCCGGGGGGATGGTCACACCGCAATCCCTTCTCCTCCATTTTCCTCTTGGGATCTTGGGCATGCACACACACGCGCCCAGCATGACCTTAAGCCACCAAGTCCGGGACTCAAACAGGTGGACGCCTACATGGGAGTCCAGCGACATAGCCTTTATGCCAACTGCTGGTCCCTGTTTGTTGAGAGAGATGTTTACTATAGGGTACATACACTTTCCAGAGAGACAGGAAGCAAGAAATCAAAATTATCCCCCCACCCCAGGGGTGTTGGCCACACCACAATCCCTTCTCCTTCATTCTCCTCTTGGGATTTTGGGCACACATGCACATGTGCCCTGTTTGAACTTTAAGCCAGGACTCGCACCTTGGTCGACTATGTGAGAGTCCAGCGACATAACCATTATGCCATCTGCTTGTCACTAAATCCAACTTCTTTTTCTTTTTTTCTTTTCTTTTTTTTTTTGAGAGGTTTTTGCTATAGGGCGCGTGCACTCATCAGACAGACAGAGAGAGACAGAGAGATAGAAAGCGAGAAATCACCCCCCAGGGGTGATGGTCACGCCGCAATCCCTTCTCCTCCATTCTCCTCTCGGGATCTTGGGCATGCACGCACACGCGCCCGGCGTGAGTTTTAAGCCACCGGGTCCGGGACGCGAACCACGGTCAACTATGTGGGAGTCCAGTGACATAGCCCTTACGCTAACTGCTGGTTCCCTAAACCCAACTTTTCATGGTGGCCGGTAAGAGTCCAGCTCCCAGCTCTTGTGAAATGTGTATATATATATATTTATAATGCACATAAGTGGGGTACAGTCATGCCACAAACACTTCTCCATTTCTCCATCTGCAGAGATTTAGGGTACACACATCTAGGCGTCCAGTCTGTTCTCCAAGCTGCCAGAGCCAGGATTCAAACTACATTGCTGGCCATGAGGGATCTGGCTCCCTTAACCATTAGGCCACGAGGCCGACCCTTCCTCTCTTTCTGAGCTCAGGTCACCCTGGTTTTGCTTTATGGCTTCTTTTGGCCTCTTAGCCTTTGTACTCGCTGTTTCCTCTGTTTGAAATGCTTTTCCCAGGAACCAGCAGTTAGCGTAAGGGCTATGTCACTGGACTCCCACATAGTTGACCGTGGTTCGCGTCCCGGACCCGGTGGCTTAAAACTCACGCCGGGCGCGTGTGCGTGCATGCCCAAGATCCCGAGAGGAGAATGGAGGAGAAGGGATTGCGGTGTGACCATCCCCTTTCAGTGGCCCCAGCAGTATTGAACATGGGGCAGACACGGGGGAAGCCTCAAGGGGTGTGGGGTGAAAGAGAATGACAGACAGCAGGAGCAGGAGGAGGGCGCCATGTTGACCCTCAGTCCCTCCAGCACCTCAGGCTCTTACCCATCCCGAGAGGCATTAGTTCCCACTTCCGATTTGTTTTTCTTCTTCTCTTTCAGCCTCTTGAGCAGCCCCTGTGGGGAGGCGGATGTTAGCTGGGTAGAGCCCCAGACTCCTACCTCATCTTCTTTCCTCCCAGGGCGTATCCCAGAGGATCTGGTGGTCTTGGTGGACCGAGTCCAAGCTTAGGCTGCATTAGCAGGAATAACAAAGACAATCAACAGCTCCCACTTCTTTTTTTTTCATGCGCTCGCCAGAAAGACAGAAACAGAGAGACAGAAAGTGAGAAATCACCCCCCCTGGGGGGATGGCCATGCCGCAATCCCTTCTCCTCCATTCTCCTCTTGGGATCTTGGGCATGCACGCACACGCACACGTGCCCGGTCTGAGTCTAAGCCACTGGGTCCAGGACTCGAACAGTGATCAACTACATGGGAGTCCAGCGACATAGCCATGACATCAACTGCTGGTCCCCAACAGCTCCCATTTCTTTTCTTTTTCTTTTCTTTTTTTTTTTTTGGAGAGGATTTTTGCCATAGGGCACATGTGCTAGCCAGACAGACAGAGAGAGACATGGAGACAGAAATTGAGACATCCCGCCCCAGGGGGGATGGCCATGCTGCAATCCCTTCTCCTCCATTCTCCTCTCGGAATCTTGGGCATGCACGCACACACGCCCGGTGTGAGTTTTAAGCCACCAGGTCCGGGATGCGAACAACGGTCGACTACATGGGAGTCCGGCGACATAGCCATTATGCCAACTGCTGGTCCCCCCAACATCTCCCATTTCTAAAGCATCAGTCATATGCTTTCATGTATCCTCCGTGTTTTTTTTTTTTTTTTTAAGAGGTTTTTGCCTTGCGTGCTCCCTGGAGAGAGAAAGACAGAGACAGAGAGGCAGGAAGGAAGAAATCATCCCCCGGAGGGATGGCCACGCCGCAATCCCTTCTCCTCCATTCTCCTCTCGGGATCTTGGGCACCCACGCACACGTGCCAGGTGTGCGCCAAGCCAGCAGATCTGGGACTCAAACCAAGGCTGACCATGTGGAAGTCCAACGATGTAATTGCTACGCCATCTGCTGGCCCCTCTATCCTCTGCTAAATTTACAAACGGCCTGAGGCCCAGAGAGGGTGATGAATCTGCCTCCTAACACCCAGCAAGAGCGCCCTTTCAGGTCTGAGTCTCTGGGAGTCTGCGTCCCCTCTGCCCCCCTTGCCTTCACCGGCTGCCTCACCCGAACGTTGTGAACAGCCTCCGGTTCATTCTTTGCAGCGATTCGATCTGTGGGTGATAAGAAGTGGGAGACTGGGGACTGGAATCACAGATTCCCCTTGCAGAAACTCCCCAATGCTCCAACCCACCTCACTCCTCAAGCTTACCTGGATCCTTGAGATTTCCCATGGCCGCTTGGATACTGCCCTCAGAGCTGGCACTTCCTACCCGGGACCGGCGGGGACCCCCCTGTTCCCCAACAAGAGTGGGCAGTCAGAAAGAGGCAGGCAAGCAGGCAGGCAGGGGACTAGGCTGACAGTTCTCTGTCACCAGCCCTCCCATCCTACCTCTGCTCTGTCTCCTCCTTTTCCCTCCTTCCCTCCCCTGATCCTGGGACCCCTCTCACCTCCTCCTCACCCCCAAACAGCACCAGCTTCCCGTCAAGCAGAGTGAAGCCCCCGATGTCCCAGACGGGCACATTGGGTGTGGGGGCCTCGGGGATCTGCGGGGCAGGAGGCTCTGGCTCTGGTTCTGGATCTAGGAAGAGGAGGAGACTCTGGAGGACCTACGAATACTATACATATATAGATATATTTAACTTTATTTATCATCATCATTATTATCATTTTTAGAGAGATTTTTGCTATAGTGTGCATTTACTTACCAGAAAACAGAGAGAAACCGAGAGACAGAAGGTGAGAAATCACACTCCCTGTACCCCGGCATGGGGATGGCCACACCACAATCCCTTCTCCTCCGTTCTCCTCTCAGGATCTTTTGCATGCACGCATATGCGCTCGGCGTGAGCAATGTAACTATTATGGCGTCTGCTGGTCTCCTGGGAGAGGTCTCTTTCTTAGGGTAGGTGAGGTAGCAGCTGGTGGGTCAGGAAAGGTCTCCCAGGAAGAGTGAGTTTGCACGGAGTCTTGAATAGCAGGTTGCATTTTGATAAGCAGAGATGGAAGGGGAGGTGACAGGACCCACGGAAATCAAAGGGAAGGGTAAGGGCCAGCAGGTGGACTCCCACGTGGCTGACCGCAGTTCAGGTCCTGGACCCGACAACATGAAACACACCGGGCACATGTGTGTGTGTGCCCAAAGCCTTAAGGGGAGAATGGAAGAGAAGGGATTGCCCCGTGGCCACCCCCCAGGAGGTGATTTCTTCCTTTCTTTTTCTCTGTCTTTCTGGTGGGTACATGTGCCTTATAGCAAAAAGAAAAAAAAAAAAAAAAAAAAAAAAAAGAGGGGCCAGCATGTGGCATGGTGGTTAAGGGCACTAGACTTCTACATGGTCGACCACAGTTCGAGTCCTGGACCTGGTGACTTGCTTTCTCACTTTCTGTCTCCGTCACTCTGTCTCTCTGTGGTCAAATTAAAATAAATAAATAACTAATTAAAATGAAAAAAATGAAACAAAACAAAACAAGAGAAACAAAGAACAAAGGGGAAGAGCAAGAGAGGGTTTAGAGCCTGGAGGAAAAGATCCAGGAAGAGACTGGGGTAGGGTGCCAGTTGGAGAAACAGATTTTTATCGCGGGGCTAGTGGAGAGGGAGGCATGGGAGGTGTTTGAGGAAGCGAAGAGCTGGTCTGTTTATTCGAGTGGGCAATCTCTGACACCCTAGAGGGAGTTGAAAGGATGCCTCTGCAAAATGGGAGTATGATGGTGAAAATCGTTTTTTCTTTGAAGAGGTTTTTCTAATTTTTTTTTAGAGGTTTTTTTTTTTTTTTTGCTATAGGGTGCATGCACTTGCCAGAAGACAGAGAGAGACAGAGAGATAAAAAGCAAAAAATCATCCACCACCCCCCCAGGGGGAATGGCCATGCCGCAATCCCTTCTGCTCCATTCTCCTCTCGGGAATCTTGGGCACGCATGCACATGTGCCCAGCGTGAGTTTAAGCCACCCGGTCCAGGACTTGAACTGTGGTCGGCTACATAGGAGTTCAGCAAGATAGCCATTACGCTAACTGCTGGCCCCTGGAGAGGTTTTCGCTATAGGACGTGTGCGCTCACCAGAAAGACAGAGAGAGATAGAAAGTGAGAAATGACCCCTCAAGGGGGACAGCCACACCACAATCCCTTCTAATCTCTGGGATCTTAGGCTCACAAGGACACGTGCCCGGCGTGAATTGAATTTAAACCACCTGCCCGGCGTGAATTGAATTTGAGCCACCAGGTCCGGGACTCGAACCATGGTCAACTACATGGGAGTCCAGCAACATAGTTATTACGCCAACTGCTGGCCCCTATGATAGTGAAAATTAAGCGAGCTTTCAGGAAATAGAAGGGCCAAGTCAACCCCTTCTCCTCCCTACCAGCTTACCTGTCTGTTCCCTTGGTCCACTACAAATGGGCAATAAATAAAAACCTCCACTTAGCACCTACTTAGTCAGGGTTGGCTTAAGCTCTGCAGGGCCCCTGGGCTAGTGCAACATTCCTGAGCTCTAATCCTTGGGGTCTCCATGACCGGCTACATTGGTCCCTCCCTCCCGACACTTAGCACCACCTGTCTTTTTCTGGTGAACTTGTTTCCTGTCTGTGTCCTGGTTGTTCTGTGAGCTTCACAGAATCCGTCTTGTTCACTGCTCTGGCCTTAGTACTTTATTTTATGTACTTATGCAGAGATTTTTTTTTTTTTTTTGAGAGGTTTTCGCTATAGGGCACGTGTGCTTGCCAGACAGACAGAGAGAGACAGAGAGACAGAAAGCGAGAAATCACCCCCCAGGGGGGATGGCCACGCCACAATCCCTTCTCCTCCATTCTCCTCTTGGGATCTTGGGCACGCACGCACACGCGCCCGGCGTGAGTTTTAAGCCACCGGGTCTGGGACGCGAACCACGGTCGACTATGTGGGAGTCCAGCGACATAGCCATTACGCTAACTGCTGGTTCCCTCAATGTGCTTTTCTTTTCCTTTTCTTTAAAAAAAAGAGAATTATTTATTTATTTAATTCCATTTGTTATTGTTATTTGTGTGTGTGTGTTTGTGTTTTATTTATTTTTTTTTTTTTTAAAGGGTTTAGCTATTGGGGCACGGGCGCCGCCC